CGAGTAGGTTGCGGTAGAACGCCACCTTGCAAATTGTATATAATTCTCCAATAGCTGGCGGCCAAAGGCCACCCTGCTAATTGCAGTTGCCTAATAGCTAGATGCAAAGCAATAGGAAATGCTGCAGTGCATAGTAGTTCTAACCAAAACGGGACCGCCAACCTTAGCAAGGGAAACCGGGGACCGCCAACGTTAGGAAAAAAAAGTGCTCCGCCAATGTTATGTTACAGCAGGTTACATTAATTATATTAGCATTTATATATTTATAATCTACTGTATTATATTATGTTGTTTTGAATTCTGTTGTATTAGGTCGTATTAAATCGTGCAGTGTTGGATTGTATTCTGTTACGGTATCTTGTATTACATTGCATTATGCAGTTTTACAGTATACTGGCTTGAAGTTGTTTGGCTAGATGGCATTGCATATGTCATATTGCACTGCGTTTTTCGCATCATATACTTCCACGTCAGATCGCAATCGCATCATGTCACATCATGTTGCATTACCTTACATGATATCAGAGTTCATTATATTGGGGTACATGATATTATGCCATGTCACACCATAGTGTATCCCGCCACCTTATTGTTTATCGTATTATGGCTTTAGGTTATTTTCATAGTATGCTATATTGCAGTATGTCATGTGATGTAATATTACACTAGCATGTCTTATCATATCATATTATGGTCTTTCGTACTAGGTTGCATGTCTGCTTCTGAGGACCAAATTCGGCGTTGTATGTGATGATATGACACTAGGTTATGTTATGTTCTACCAGGGTATGTTATTTTATGATATGCTGTTGTTATATTTAGTAGAAACTTGTCCCGGCGCCTCTTCTCCAATTTTTAGGGGAGATCGAAGTGAGCCGGTCTCCTTTTGGAGCACATGGTTCGGAGGCCATGGTGAACAGGCGTGAACTGAATGCAGGAGCTTCGACAGTTCGAGATCCGTCGGGGCATCATCGCCAACAGGCGGGGCTGGGTTCGAGCATTTCCGACCAGCGTGTGGTTTTCATTGTTCTTGCAGGGAAGCGCTGCTTCGCCAAAGGCTAGCAGCAGCTGGCCAGGCGAAGCTGTCCGAGAAGTTGGTCAACAAAGTGAGCCCTGTCGATTCTGAGGTCGTGACCCCGCCGGCCGGAACCAATGTGCCAGCCCTTGAAGTGCCGCTCTGTGTCATGTCGATGTCGTTCTTGCTTCAACTGACAAGCCAGCTGTCCCCAGGAATCCACCAAAAGTACTTTTGGAGGTGCAAGTGATGAAGCACCCTCTGAGGCAGCTCAGCTTATGCACATAGCTCCTCGAGCCACGTTCGGTGCTGGAGCGGAGGCGAGTCCGTCGCGAGAGCCTGTGATGTTCAACATCGATGACGACGCTGGCTATCCGAAGATCACGCGACCTACTTCACTCGAGGATCCCCAAGCTGGGAAAGATTGATACGGAAGAGTTGCCCTCCCTGGCTCCAGGACTGGGAACAGGGGCTCGAAATGCTTAATGCAGCCGGGCAAACGCGAGATCGAGCAGCCAGCCTCAGGTCAGGTGGGATATCTTACTGTGCACGTTTGAGTCGTTGCTCGCCTTGCAGGGCACATTGGCTGATGAATGGCGGCAAGACATCGGGGAATTCTCCGGTCAGGAGATCTTAGAATGTCTAGTCGGCTTAGCAAACATGTCGTCGAATTTCGTTGATTGTTACGAAGAAATTCTTGTTTGCTCTTGCTTGCTACGTGGCTCCTGCCCCGCTTGCCACATTCTTTAAATCAGCTTTCACCCCGAACGAGACCGCAGGGCCCACTGCAATTTAGGGACGGCATGCAGCAGTCAAGAAAAGGCCTGGAAGCACATCAGACCGGAGGTGACTGCCCAGAGTATTTTGGCACGTGGCATGTCCGAGGTTGTATGCTCGCAACTGATCTCATCTGTCTCAGCCGTTTGCCACGTGAGCGCACAAATGGTATGCGGCCCCCACCCGAGAGAAGATGCAATTGAAGCCTGGTGACCGGGAGACTCGCACGCATTGCCCAAAGCTGAAATGTGAACCCATGCCATGCATGCCATTCCAGAAGTGGCTTTCCAGAAAAGGCGGAGGCGCTCTGTGCATGTCATCCTTCCCCTTTGAAGTATCTAGTGAGAAAAATGCTAGCATGCGTCTTCGATGTCCGATGTTTTGCATCCCATTGGATGTGCTAGTTCGGTTGGTGGCTCCATGGGAACTGAAGTTTTTTGTAGGTGCGGCTGTTGATGTTGTTGTTGTTGTTGTTGTTGCTGCTGCTGCTGCTTCTGCTGTTGCTGTTGCCTATTGCCATCGCTACTGCCACTGCTTGATGATGATGATGATGATGATGACGATGACGACGATGATTATGTTCATGATCATGGCGAATTTGATACTGATTATGACGAACATCCGTGCTGATGTTGGCGTTGCTGTTGTTGCTGTTGTTGCCGTTGCTGTTGCATTTGCTGTTTCATTTGCTGTTGCTGTTGTAGATGCTGCTGCTGCTGCTGCTGCTGCTGCTGCTGATGGTGATGATGATTATGATGATCGTCTTCGTCATCAGCGAACATTACTGCGGTAAGTGGTACTGACTCCAATGATCTCCAATGTAATTCCGCCGAACAAGAAATTTAAACTCTTTCCTCAGCCCAGAGGTGGGCCAATGGCTTCATGGCTTCCTCCGTAGTCTGAGTCTGAACGGGCCTGCAGCTCAGATTCCGCGGTGCCTCTGGCATTTTGCAAGGCCACCATTTTGGCTGAGGCCCCATGGATGAGGTGCACAGCCCAGGCGAGATTGCTTCCTTGGTCCGGCTGGCGGAGCACCTAGAAGGCCAGGTGATGCCGGATGCAAACCAAACACTGCTGCCTCGGGAGACCCTTTTCTTCAGGTGCCTACGAGAAGGATGCCAGCTGCCCAGATGGATCAGCGATTTCTGTGGAACAAGCCCAGAACAGCTCAGGACTCTCCGGAGCTCGCAGAAGCCATGGACTTTTTCATCGAGGCAGGAATCTTTGTGTTTGCTCAGAGTTATCTCCACTCACACGCCTCCACTCTCCAGGCACACTCCCAGCGCTACGTTTTCAGGGACACACGCTATGTGGTGGCCTCGGCATCGGCGTATGCATTGCAGCGCCTGCCATTCGCGAGCGAAGAGCCACGACACTGTCACGGGCAGGGGGCCATGGATCGCTACGTCCAGCTCTTTCGCCGCTTGCAAGAGGACGCGACAAGAAGTATCAAAAACAGAAGAGTGTGGAGAGTCGTATCAAGCCGTCGAGGGTGGCAAGTGTAAAGGCCCTTAGATTGTGTTGAAGCATTCCTGTTGCAATCTGCCCGCTAGGAGCTTCGGCAGATCATATGTTCGCAGCACAAGGCCTGTTTACATGCACGAAAGAGGTTTGCATCCTGCAGTGCATCATGTTGACTCGAGGAGAAGAAGGGGCGGGTGTTCACTTTGAGGATACTGCAGTTCCGAACTCAGATACTAGTCACTAGTCCTCATCTCCATCTGCAGATGCATGGATGCACGATTCAAGCATCTTTGCGTGTCGGGGGGTAGCTCTCCCATTTTGGATGAGGTGCTTGCGGTTACTCACGTCGAAGCCTCAGGGAACAGTGCATCCTGCAACATGCATCGTTGATGCTCGATACCTGTTGTCGTCGGCAGGAATAGCGTGTGAGTTATGCACCTGAGATCAAAGGCGCGATCCCGACTTCCAGCTTGCGAGCGCCTGACATGTCTCCAAGTTTGTCATGGCCGGTGCTCGTCATTTGCGATCCCCGGTTTCTGTTTCGTGCGTGGAAGTTTTCACGTAAAGATGGCCAGGCTGCTTGAAAAGGGGTGGAAGAAGTCGGCTTTCGAGGCCTTCCTTATTGGTCGTGTGCATGAACGCGAAGAGGATCGCTGCGTCCAGGAGACGGAGCTTCCCATGCAAAGCACGCAAGAGCGTGGTCGTGAGCTGCCGGCAGCCTCGGTCAGCGGCGTGGCGAATGAAAGCACGAAGAAGAAGTTGCAAGGCCGACGCCGGTGCCACCAGCCTGCTACCGGGCCATGGTCTCAGAGAGAGAGCCCAGAGCCCAGGATTAGGACTTCGCCTTCGCAGAGGTGATGGCACCAGATCTTCCGGGGCTGCCACCACCGAGCCTTCGTTCAGGAGTGCATGGGTGTACCAGGTGTGCAAGTGAGACCGGAACCCTCCGGAACCCTCCGGAACCCTCCGGAACCCTTGCGGTGCAAGGAGCCTGTGCATCTCCTCGAACCAGGTGGAGGAGCCCTGAGCCCATGAAGAGGCGATGTGAATTGTGTGCTGATGCGTCAGCTAATCAGCTAATCCATGTCTTCACTGACCAGGTCTCCCTCTGCGGAAGTTCTGGAAGAGGTCGCATGCACAGGCCCAGCGAGTCGAGCACAGTCTGCTGTTGGAAGCTTCGTTGGTTGTGGCGGAAGGGCCGGGCTACCTGGCAGATGCATAGCCCTTGGACATATCCGACATATCGTCTTGTGCTCTCCCACCACAGCTAAGGTTCAAGCTGAGCGCGAGCGTTTCCGGCTCCCTCCATTGGAAATGAGGAGACCCGGCAGCACCGGCTTGCCTTGGGACGAGTCGGGACTTTTCTCCAGGAGTGAGAGAAGCCAAAAGTCTGCATACGCCCGGCCCCCGGCACCGCAGCAAAGCTCTGAGAAGGTGGCAGGCGAAGTGCTCACTTGGCGCCGGGTCAGGCCCTTTCCAGCAGCCGTGCCCCAGAAGTACTGAGGCCCAAACCTCTTGCATCGCTCAGAGCTAGGACCTAGGAGCTCAATGCGGCACCGGGGCAAAGTGCCATGCGAGGATTTTGCCGGAGCTTGTGTCGGAATACCTTGCAGAGGTGGAAGGCGGCTTTGGACAAGGCCGGGTGAGCACTGCTGCAAGTATGGTGAATGAAGCCGTAACCAAGAAACGAGAGCAATCAAGACCTAAGAATACCTAAGACGAAGACACTAAAACGCCCGCCGACGAGCAGGCGAAGGATTTCGAACGCCGAACCCGACAATCTGCGACAGGAATACAGTTCTACGAAGCCTCTACCAGTGGGATCGCCAACAGGTGCCCGCCTGCGACTTTTTTTGTGTTCTGTGCTTGTTGAAGAGTCTGGCAACATCGAATGGCAGGTTTCTGAGTTTGGGAGGATTGTGGGATTGGACTTCCTGGATTGAGAATGTCGGCCACCTTTCAGAGGAGTGATGAAAGACCTTCTTGACTGTCGAGGCTTGCCGTCACCGTGGCTGGCCTCTGCGTCTCTGAAATCGCTGGCATGCTCAATCGCTATGCGAGCACAGAGGCGCTCGTGCTTTTTTCTCATTTTTTCCCCGGCGGATCTTGGTTTCAGGGGGGTTGATTCAGCAGAGTCCTTCTAATGCTTTTTGGCTTAGGACTTAGGACATTGGGATGTTCCCGGCAGAGGTGGCAACGCTGTCCAAGTGAACTTCTGGGATGCAGCACGCGCACAGGTTTACCACGAAATGCCTTCAAGTGACACTTGAAATATGACAGCCTTCCCGCATGTACTCATAAAGACAGAAGGTGCCTCAAGTACTCGTTTTTCACCCACCTCCCACATCGCTTGTCAAGGACAGGCGGAGCCGACTGGCAGAGATGGGTGTGCGGATTCCCGGTTTTGTGCGTGTCTGGGGCTTGTGTTGCTGAGCCTACATGTCATTACATGTCTTTGATTGACGGACGGTGTTGCAAGACAAATTTGTCGCCGTGATGCTGTCGCCCTTGTTGCTGCCGAGGCCTTGCCGTCCATGGCAAGGCTCCTTCACAGAGCGCCGCTGCCGTGCTTCGACATGTCCGAAGCTTGCGGTGCAGATGCCCGCTTTGAGCTTTTCCCGTCGCGACCGCCAGGACTGTCATCCCCTTGTGCAGAGGCCCAGGGGCTGCAAAAGCGCACATTTTAGGATGCGCACCGCTGCCTCTACAAGTCCTACTGGGAGCTGTATGGCTATTGAAAACCAAGCTATGGCTTTACATGCTTCTATGTACATGTGCACAAGTCACACGTCTGCCAGTGGACATGGGCATGCTGCTTCACTACAGTTTGAGTCATTTTAGTCGTCTGCGAAAGCTTGAAACGAAGTGGCAGAGCAGCATTCAAGACTGCAGAAGCAGGCAGACATCACAAGACACAACCCGAGCACAGACATGCGGCGTAGATGGTAGTGGCAAACACCAGCGCTCTAGTCAAAATCTCCTAATATGCCGGAACGCTGATCACAAGGTGCGCCCTTGAGACAGCCGTGCAGCTGACCAGGCCACGTGCTTTCGTAGAGTGATTCCGGAGTTCAGGGCCTTCGATCCTCTTTGTTGTTCTGGATGGTTGGGACTTTGCTGGGCTGTTTAATTCATCGGTAGGAGCCTGCTGGATAAGCGCACTTCCCGAGTCCATGTTCCAGGAGCCCAGGAGTCTTGGAGCAGCTGGAGCAAGCATCGGCGCAGGAGAGCTTCAAGGCCATGCGTGAGCAGATCGGGACATGTCCGGACGATTCGGGAACAGTTGACATTTCCTTCAGGATGATGGACGATGATTGGTATGATTATGCATGCATTGCATACTAGCTACGGCAAGTTGCAAGTTGCAAGCTTTACTGGATCACCGCTTCAGGTTCAAGTGCAATGCAGGATGAAGGCGAAGTTGCATCATAAGGCACTCTAAGCCACATCAACAAGAACACCGCGGGTCAGAAGCCTGATGCTTGCGAGGTCCTCGTTGAAGTCTGCTCTAGATGGGCCGGACATTGTCGGGATTTTTTCCCTAGACTCTCCGTGTTGCCGCGTTTGGTGCCATGAGCTCCAACGTGGGACCGCCAGTGGCCCCAGGCACCACATGGCCGTCGATTCAGAATTCGTGGATTCATGAATACACTTTTGGTTATCTTGTCAGGCTACTGTGATAGCCTGCAGCGGGTTAGCAAGAAGGTCTTGAAGCATGGCATGTCAAGCTGGCGAGCAAATTCGAGTGAGCACGTCACCATCGACAGCGCCAGCCGTACACACAACGGTCCTGTATTCAGCAGCACGTGCAGCACGTTCGAGGCAGTCCTGTATTCAACCCATTTGCGGCTGCTGGCAGACATGTGCAATGATTAATCCGTGCCTCAGATCCGCACAGCACCGTAACTCCCCGATTTGGTGAACGTCCTTTGCGGCCGCCTTTGACAACTCTCACGCCCCTCAATCCACAAAACCTCACATCAGAGAGGCACCGTGGAGATCGCTGGCGGTCCCAAGCTGTCCCGCAGCGAAGCGAGGAGGCTGAGGGAAGAGGCCGGGTTTGTCAGAGGAGGGGGTTCCGAATCCGAAGGAGGCTTGTGGCATAGAGGTGCGGAGCTGAGGGGGTTTGGTGTGAAGGGGGAAAAAGGGGTTTAGGGTCTAGGTCCAGGTTTGAGCTGAGGTGAGAGGGCATTAAAAGATTTGATTTGGGAGACAGCGGGAAGCCGAAGGGCTCTGGACTTGAGACAGAGCCTCAAAGGAGGGCGCAAGGTCAGCCTCGTTTTCTGTAGAGGACTTTCAGGTAGGCTCTGCACTGGCTCCAGGAGGAATCTGCCGCCGTCAAGTCCCTTGCAGAAGCTTGGAGGCTTGTCGCGTGGTTGTGTTGCTGTTTCACTCTGTCCGGAAATCGGGGATCTGGTCCTGAGATTATGCCCACAGCCCTGCAACTCAGCCCTGCGACCTGCAGTGGAGGCTGGGCACCAAAGCCAAGCTAGTTGAGGCAGTGGATCAGGCCCGCTCTCGCCCCGGAGTGACAGAACATCCGTGTGTCAAAGTGTGGCCTTAAAGGAGGAGGAGGCGAAGAAAAACGAAGCACGGGAGCGGTCACGCAGCAGGGAGAAGAAGGCATTCGGCCAAAGAGTGTAAAATCTGAGCCCATGCATCGGAAGAATCGCCAGGAAACTCTCGATCGGTTGGCCAAGATTGCAGCAGACAAGGCTTGGCGATGCCTGGCACTGGTCAGGTTGTTGGGCTCTCGTCGCGTTTCGGTGGCGCGAGCAAGCTTGAATCCAGGCTGCAGCCGCCAAAGCAAAGAAGGAGGCTGCCGAAGGTGAGGAACCGGCCCCTGAAGAGAAGAAGCTGAGCAAGCTGTAGCCTCAGCGGCACTCTCACTTGCTCTTGCACTTTCGCTGCATGTCTGAAACGCGCTGCGAGGGCTGAAGAAGCAAAGCTGCTTCTCTTGAAGGAGAAAGAGAAGGACCACAGCCGTAACATGTAGCCAGTCCATTACTGCTTCAGACGCAACTGTTGCGAACCGTGAGATGATGGAGAGGCTCGTCTGAAGAAGCAGGCAATGGAAGAGGCCAAGAAGGAGGAGGCAGTGTCGGCGCTCTTCGCTTAGGGTGTGTAGCATTGGGTCTTCAGGGCTGCAGAGGAATACCGCCAGGAGATGCGCAAGAAGATGGCCGTCCTGGAACGGGATCTGAACAAAGGTGACAAGGGCAAGTACAAGCGATATTAAGATTGACGTCATCTTAGCAGCCAGAGGTATCAGCGAACTAGGCCATCCCACTGGGACCTGGAATTGGATTCCACGCATCGCTAACGCCTACAACTCAAGCAGCTCCAGCAGTCGGTATGAGTCAACGCCCGAGCCTGGCCGTGTCTCACTTCTGATACAGACATCGGCAGCAAAGACGTGGGGAGTCCAGAGGAGAAAAGACCCTGTTTGCTCACGGAAGCCGGCTCGGAATGAAGGTTGCTTATGACTGTGACGGCTTCAGCAGCCACTACTGCTGCTGTTGCATATGCGGTTGCTCTGTTGTAGTTGTGGTTATCGCTGTCGCTGTCGTCTCGTCGGGGTACCCACACAACTCGGTCGTGTGCAGCGAACGGCAGTGGTGGCAGGGGTAGAGAGAAGGTAGTTGATGAGCGGAAGGAGTGGTAGCAACAGAAGCAGTACTTTTGGCCGCGTTGAGGGTTTCTTTCGTTCTCGAGGCTTTTGTGGGGGGGGGGTGGGGGGTGGGGCGGGTGGGGTTGAGTTTTCGGCCCATACACACATGCAGTTTCAGCGAGTGGCAGCCAGTGGGCCGATTTTGCATTTGCTCTTAGCTTCCTTCGCGGTTGTGGTTTTCACAACGGCTAGCTTTTTCAAAGGTTTGTGGACTGAAAAGGAGGAGTCACTTGAACCGGCAGTCACACAGACTTCAACCGGTCACCTGTCCTTACGCAGCCAAGCCACTACCCCTGCTGCTGCTGCCGCTGCTCCGACTGCTGCTACACACTGCCACCACCACCACAACCACCACGACGACGACCACTACCACGACCGCTGCTGCTGCTGCTGCTGCTGCTGCTGCTGCTGGTGCTGCTACTGCGACGACGACGACGACGATGACGACCACGACAACGACCACGACAACGACCACGACAACGACCACGACCACGACAACGACCACGACCGCGACCACGACCATGACGACGACGCCTGCTAATACTATTTCATTTGTCATCACCGTTTTGGTTGTCGCAAGCATGTTCATCATCATGAGGCACGATCCTTGTTCTCTTTTATCGTCATTATCAGCGTCATCGTCGTCATCAGTCTCTTTCATTGCCATCGTCATCTCCCGCATCATCACCACTGGTCATCACCACCATCAGTACCATGAGTATCCTAGGATTCTGACCTTACAGTGGTTCTGACCCGGTGTTGTGGTCTACTTTCATCGTACTATTGTTATCAGTGCCATTTTTTGTTGCGAGCAGCCAGCTTTGCAGGCTTTGCCTCAGCTGGACGGCGCTGATACAAGTGGCAAGCTTTCTTCATTCATTCAACACGGTCCTGAGCTCAGACTCCTTCCGGCCGGCGTGGATATCTCAGTCGCTCAGCTGATGGCTAAAGGCTTGCAGCTGTTGCTGTCCTCCGAGTGGTCTCTGAAACAGTTGGCTGCCCAACTTCTGGACCTTCACGACATGTCCGTCTCACGGCCACGTTCAATGAGCATTGTCTAATTGCAGGTGAAATGAGCTTTTGGAACATGTTGCCTCTTTCGCTGTTGGCGCTGTGATGCAGATCCTACTGTTGCGAACATGCATCTGACATTGGACCGGCTAAGTTATCTGTCGGCGTCATGGGAAGGACCAAAGATTACTGCGCAAGAGCAAAGATCGCATCAACGTGCTCCACGTTCCATGCACCCGGCATCCCTCGGCCACCCACCAACTTCGTTTCCTCAAACTTAAACTGTACAAGCGAGACAACACCTTCACAAGCGGACATATCAGCTTGTGGATCTCAGGCAATAGCCGTCCTACCCGATTAATCGAACATTTTGATGATGGTCAGGCCCATTTACCGTGCGAAGAAATCAATATCTTTCTTGAGCTTGCGGGGTCAATCACCGGGACCGCCTGTGGTTCTATCATCGGTGCCTGCAGAAGTTGTGATGCTTTTGATCAGCGCAATTACATTGTTCTTTACTTCTCTGTTTACTCTCCAAACGGTGTAATCAGGTTGCTGCGGGCGCGAGCGCCAGCTCCTGCCATGGACAGTCACTAAAATCAAGTTCTGTCCAGCACAGTCCTGTGCTCATTTTGGGCTTCCAGTCGCCCGAAACTCTGAAATAAATCTCTGAAGTGGTAGCAGTGCAACACCCTTCGGCTCTCCGAGGTTCGTCGTTGTGATCTCGAAATCCCGCCGTTCTGAGGGTTATAGAGTTTACCTGAATTTTCAGTCGCGCTCCAGAAGTTCCACTCGTCGTCCTGCCACAGTCCTGCCGCAGTGTCGCGTATATTTGGGTGCGATTCGTGTTTCCCATTGACCGTGCCCTGCATTTTTGCCTTCCGAGGCCGTGCTCCTGCGACAGTGCGTTTTCTAGGGTGGATCGCAGTGTGGTGTGCATATTGGGGGTGCTCCTGGAATGGTTGCTGGGCATGACCCACGCTGTAACCCCAAGCTACGTTTTTTTTGAGACTGGTCTCAGCATCGCTACCATCGTGGTCACATCGTGGGGTCCACTACTTTTCAATCGTCATCCCACACTCCCAAACGAAGCCGAGCTTGCACGAAGGAGCAAGCTGCTCAAGCGCGCCACAGCAGCTCTCACTCGAAGCCCTGGAAGGACCAGCTCCTCCGCACTGTTGGTGGCCGGCAGCGCTTTCGCAGGCTTCAGGCACTACCCTTGGCTCCTCGGCAGTGTAAACAAGGGCCAGAAGGAGAGGGAAGGAGTTGCAAGCACTCGGCGTCCATTAGCATTATCAAGAATAAGATATGCATGTTTTTGCAGCGATTACCAGTTTCGGCCGTGCATAAGATGGGACAAGCACCAGAAGTGACACGGGTTCTCTGGCTTCCAGGTGTCTGATGCCGTGTTTGTTCAGTGGCCGACCCTGCGATGTAAGCATTCATCCCACTTTCTTCCAAGAAGGGCACGCAACCGTCTTGATCACGTAGTTGGTGCAGCCAGACAGCACGAAGAACGTCTAGCAACTGACCTGGCTGCCGATTGGAAGCTCTGCAGCCCAGCTGCAGGTCTTGAACCAGCTGAGAGTTTACTCAGACCTCTCGGGAGGTGTGTGCACGGTGATGCATCAAGAGCGAACAAATCCAGTTGCAGAGCAGTAATTGACAGGTGTTGATCAAGGGCAGGCTTGCACATGGCTTCACTTGCCAGCTGCCCAGCTTCGGGTCAGTCCGCAGCTTTCGAGGTTTGTGTCATCTCGAAGATTTCTCGGTGGTCCGAGGCTGATGTGCTGCAAGGCCTTCCTGCAGCTCTTTATTGTTGCGATGACTCCTCGTGGGTAGCGTCAGAACCTTGCCCGCGACCACGTGGAGAGTGGGGATCAATGGGCAGTCCAGGCCAGCTCGCACCTCGCAGTGCAGTTGTTGCTTTGTGGTGATTTCTCGAGACTTTAGGAGTTGCTGGAGCACAACGCTTTGGCCGTCATCCTGCGACTTGTCAGGTGGGGAGTGCTTGCCGATTTCCGTCTTCTTGCATTAACGGCTCAGAGTCCAGCCAGCATCCAGGGTTTGCTACAAGTCCCACGATGTCCGGATCCCACTGACGTGCAGCACCGCTTGGTTGAGTGGCCCGTGTGGTAGTCAATCACATTTCCAGCCAGGTTGTGTACCAAGATGTAGTGATGATCACGATGTCCGTGACCAGCACCATGAAAACGAAGGGTGCTTGACCGAGGCTAACTTAAAGGTTGTCCTGGCGGCCTTGGATGCTATGACTCAGATGTGCATGGTACGCCCCATCGCACTGCGGCATTCCGTAGCGCTGACATGCACTGACCTTACATGCTTGCAGGATGACGAATGCGCGCTTAAGTTGCGGCTCCAAGCTGATGGCTTCGTTGCTCTCGGAGCGCTAATGCTTGAGCTCTCACCGAGGCAAGATATTTTTGGGGTAGTCGTAGTCCGCTAAAGCTGAGGGAGGCGCTCTCTCTCCCTCTCTCTGCGCCAGTTTGGGACCCCATCCACTTGTGGAAGATGATGTCGAAGGAAGCTTCGAATGTCAGGCTGGCAATTTCTTGAACCAGCTGCATGTTTACCAACCCTTGAGAGATTCCTCTTCAGGCGAGGGATGTGCTGCGGGCGGCTGCCAGGTCCCGGACCCAACTTCCCTTCGCTGTCCGCGCACTTGTTCCCTGATTCGTCCGCGCCTCTAAACCCACAAGGCCCCCAAGGTCCTACGTCCACAGACTTTGAGCCCGGAAGCTCGAAGCCCCCAGCCGCAACGAAACCCCATCCGTAACTTCACAAGCCCTAGAAAAAGCCTGAAGCCCAAGCCTCAAAGCCCCAGACCCCAAACCGTAAGCCTACAAGCTCCCTCACAAGCCCCCCAAAACCCCAAAGTCCCGACAAGCCTGAACCGCAAAGCGTTAAGCCCAAGATCCCAAGCCCCACACCCACAGGTTGCTACGGTTCCTATTCGCCGTGGAGCGGAATCGCAAGGAGTGCGATTCTGTGTGACGAACGGCTAGTGCCACAAACGCAGTCGCCACCGTGGCAAACATAATCAGAGTCATGTTGTTCATCAGAAACCTAGTAGTAGTAGTCGTCGTCGTCGTCGTCGTCCTCGTAGTAGTAGTAGTAGTAG